CTTGCTTGCATTTCAGCACAACTCTTCTATGCTTGTTTAACGCATCTGTACATTTGGATATATGTGTGTGGTCTCGTAATAAACGTAATCAACACTTCGTATTTGCCTTCTGATTAATATACCGTTGGGACGTTATATAGAACGGTTATCAAGACGAGCTGTATACGAAGTTTAAGGATTATATCGGATACCGACCACCACAAGTTCCTCCAGGCACAATCCTCGGTCCTCTACTCATTTTACTTTATGGAAATGAATTACCGACTGTAGCAAATTCATTCGTTCAACTTTTCGCCGATGACACGAAGATTTGGAGATCTATACACAGTATGTCAGGTAGAATATTATTACAGGGTGATCTCAACTCATTAGTGGCATGGATGGACGGATGGTCACTAGATGTGAATCACAACAAGAGTGTGGCTATGCAATTAAATAACTATGGTGATTCGCATTACTACACAATACGTGGATTCGTGTTACCAAAAGTAACAAATTATAAAGAATTTTGAGTCGCGCTATTTAAAAGGACAATGATATTGTTTCTAGTCGAGGTAAACTAACTGTTTTGATCGTAAATTACGCATCAAAACCACTGTTTACACTTGAATTGAATCTATTCCACTTAAAGTGATATTGTATTGAGTGTTTTGATTTTGCTTTTGTGTATTTATTGCATCAAAGCATACTTAATCGACTTTTACTTGATTTATTTAGTTAAGGCTTGAGAATTCTTTTACATATCCTGTTTGTGTCACCATTGTAGTTGATTTTCAAGATGAACGGCTCTGCTCATAGATGTGGACAACCCTATTGCTTATTCCCGTGGAGAAAGGGTTGCAATGTGATGAGTGTAATATGTGGTTCTATAAGATGTGCGCCCGATTAAGCCCCATTGCATATATGAGGTGCTCAAAGCCGAACTCACATTGTTGCTCGAGCAAAACATTATTCATCCAGGAAGCAATTAGCCTCCTGGCGTTGGTTAATAAGAAGGTTGACGAGGGCTGTACTGGTAACATGGGTACTGATGGCGAAAATTGCGTCAGTGTCATGAGTGTTGTCACGGCGCAAGACAGATATCTAACTGTGCAACCCGCAATTAAACCTTCTACCCCGAAACAATCAATGAGCGTGTCGCTCGAATGCCGTGAACACGATTTCAAAAAGAAGATAAACTCGTTCCTAGTTTAATTATTTGAAATCTAGAGGAGTGGAAAGACAACGACCCTGCTAAACGACATACACATGACCTGCAGTTAATGAAATCTGTGATAAGACATTTCCACCTGAAGAGCTTTCACTGGTACATATTACGAAAGTGATACAACTCGGTAAATAAGTCGCAGGCGAGACCCAACCAAGAAGAATCCTGAAGCTGATTCTCGGGAATTTTGAAGAAAGAGATATATTATTGAAAAACGCACAAAAACTCGTGATTTAAATATTCGTATTCGGCCAGATTGACCGCTTGAGGATCGAACCAAGTGAGAGAGTGCTCTTACGGAGTTAAGAACTCGCAAGTTAGATGGCGAAACTAATCTTACCATTAAGGGTTTTCGGGTAGCATTGGCTTCCAAGACCTGTATGGGTAGAACGAATGATTCCAGAAACACCTTAAGTGTGTGATACACGAACATCCGTAGTCTTAGAAACAAAACGTTTGAGCTAAGTCTGATGGTCGGTGAATTAAGTCCTGATATAACTGTTGTTACAGAAACTTGGTTCACAGTAGATATAGAATGTTTTCCCATCATTGTAGACTATATCTGTATTATAAGTGATAGAGTTTTAAGTTTCAACGGGAGAGGCTTAATCTTATACGTTAGGGATCCTTTTCGTATACAATCAATCATATCGGAGGCTCATGTCAGTGGTACATGTGAGGTAGCATGTTGTAAGATGAAATCTAGAAATGGGTTAGCGACTATAGGGGGTATACACCGTAGTTCATGTTGTCTTGCTGACAGCTTTATCTTAAGAGCATGGCAGAATGTTGTCTCATCACTGGGGACTTCGACGCACCGCATATCAACTGGATAGAGCTTACAGATCCAGGTAGTGGTTTCGATAGCGACCTTTTACCTACCGTTATTCAGTGTGCATTTGTACAATGTATCACAAAACCGACACATATTGATTTTAATCATGATCCGTCACTGCTGGACCTCGCTCTCACCCACCACTGTGAGGATGTTTTTGATATTCAGCACCTTCCCCCACTAGTGAACAGTGATCACGTTGTAATTCACTTTAAGTTTAGGACACATGGTATGCAGTTAGTATCTGCTCCACCCCGTCCCAATATCTGGCGAGCTAATATTCCAGCAACCAGAAACTGTGTTATGTCGAGTGACTGGTTGGTTGAAGTAGATGGATAGATTGAAGACTAATGGAATAAGTTTAACGCTACATTCGAGTCCGTAACATCACCGTTTATCCCATGGTCAACACGAAAAATATCACATTGCCCACCATGGATTAATAAGAAAACCCGGAAGCTGTTAAATCGTAGAAAATACTTCTGGGACTTATTCTTCTTGACAGGTTATACATCATTTAATCGTGAGTACCGGAAATTCCGGAATATTTGTAAGAAAACTATTGCTAAATCCCGTATTACTTACAAATGACAGTTGGTATATGATAGCCGTACTTGTCCGAAACGACTGTTTTTCGTATGTTAAACGGCGAATGAAACGTAGTGATGGTATTCCCCCGTTACTGTCACACGAAAATTCAGATTTATTAGTTGAATCAAATCTGGCAAAAGCTGAAACTTTTTCAAATTATTTCTGCGAAATATATTCTACGTTTATTGTAACAAGTACCTGTCCCAATCACACCGAGATACCAGCCATTTAATCTATACAGGTGACTGAGAAAACTTTCCTTCCGTTGATAACTAGCCTCAAACCTTGTAAGATATCGGGCCCTGACGGGTTACGTCCACGGCTGCTGTCATCTCTTGCGGACGTTATTTCAAAACCGCTCGCAACACTCTTCATTATGTCCCTTTCACTCTCTCAACTCCCTAGAGATTGGAAAGACGCTATGGTCAGCCCTATATTTAAGGATGGTCAGTTTAACTAGCATTGTTGTTAAGTTACTTGACAAGATAATTCGGGTCAGGTTGCTAAGACACATAGATTCACATAGTCTGTTAGCCCCTGAGCAACATGGATTTCGTAACAAGCGTTCATGCTTGACTAACTTATTGCGAGAGAAGATTGGATAGCAGCCTTAGATAAAGATCTGTCTGTCGATGTGATATTCATAGATTTTAGCAAAGCATTTGACAAGGTTTCACACCTAGATCTTATGCAGAAGCTCACGAGCTTCGGAATAATGGGTACTGTATATGACTGGATAGGAAACTTCTTATGTGACCGCAGACAGAGAGAGAGGTTCAATGAAACCCTATCCGATTGGAAGCTGGTCAAAAGTGGTTTACCCCAAGGCACCATCTTAGGCCCTCCGCTCTTCTTTAACGAGTTACTGTTGTTGCTTAGGTTGTTGATATTATTGTTTGCGGATGACGTAAAAATCTGGAGAACAATAAAAAGTGAGGCTGATCACTTGGATCTCCAAGCTGACTTGGACGATTTATTTGGATGGGCTAGAGATCGGGGCTTAGAAACCAATTTTAGGAAGAGTGTGCTAATGGACATTGGTGAAGGTAATAGTTGCCATTATACTATTGATGGCAAACCTCTTGCATACGTTCAAGAACATAAAGACTTAGGAGTAATAATAAGACATGACTTAAAAACAACTACGCACTGCAACGCAGCCGCTGTCAAAGATTTTCGTGCGTTATGGTCACTTCACCGAGCGGTCAAATCTTTTGACGAGGAAATGTTTCGAATTTTATATCCTACTTATGTGAGACCACATTTAGAGTACTGTATCCAAACCCATGTCTGGTAAAGGATACTAACTCACTTGAGCGTGTCCAGAGTGTGGGAACGGAATTAGTGGAGGGCCTTTCTACACTCCCTTATGATGAGCGTTTAAAACGCCTAACCGCTTTCCCCTTGTCGTATCGTAGCACGCGAGGTGACCTTATACTGGAATTTTGTATCTTTAATTATGATTTGGGTGTTAATATGTTTTATCTTTTTGCCCCCTCCAGTACTAATAATCTCCGAGGTCATAGCAAGAAGGCTCTTAAACCACGATCTAATAAACTCAAAGCAGGGTCCCATTTTTCTCATCGAGTAGTCAATGACTGGAACGCCCTACCCGAATAGGTGGTATCAGCCCCATCACTGAATATTTTCAAGGAGAAGCTGGACCTTCAGTGGAAGACAATGTCAGGATTAACACAGATTAATCAACCTACCATCCTTATTAGCGAAGACTGAAGATTGAGTCATGATGGGCAGCAATCTCAAAACTAAGAGTAATTGCAAGGCTTCTACAGCAAAAGGCTCTAAGTTTTTATGGGCTATTCGTAGGTGTTTTCAGAATTTGGATGAAGAAATGTTTAGATTATTATACCCGACTTTCGTGAGACCTCATTTAGAATATGGGATTCAAGCAGCGAGTCCTGGTTTCAAGTATCAGGCAGATATGCTGGAACGAGCCTAACGACTAGGGACTAACACGGCTAAAGGTCTGCCCGGCCGATCTAATGATGACAGACTGAGACCCCTCAACTTATTTTCGTTACCTTACCGTAGAACACGGGTGACCTAATATTGACTTATCGTATACTGAAAGATGACCTTGGTACCAGTATATCTAATCTTTTCCTTCCTTCTGTGATTGATCATTTGGGAGGACATTTAAAGAAAGTCCAAAAAATGAGATCAAAAGCGACTACGTCTGGAATTTCATTTCTCACACAGAGTGGTGTATTACTAAAATTATCTACCAGAACACGTAATATCAGCACCTTCTGTTGATATATTAAAAACTAGAATGGACCTCCACAGTGTTTCAGACTGCAAGGATTAATATAGGTTGATAGACCTCTCATCCTTATTACTGAAGACTGAAAACTTTGGGCGCGTCAAGGTTGCCGCGCCACCTGAATGAGATGTCTTTGGTTGAGAAGTTAAACACCCTAAGACTAATAATACGACAGAACGGTGGGATTAAAGGGTCGTTCTTAACTTTATTCAGGTAAGGGTTTCACTTTTAAGGTTTTACTATAGGACTGACGAACTGAAATGGGGTAAATTAGTTGGAACTGACAATTTCGGAAATAAATACTATGAAAATAATAATTACTTCGTTGGTAAGCTTCATTCATAAATTAACGTCAGGGAGAAATCGTTGGGTTAGATACTCGAATAGGTTTGGTTGGGACTATGAAGGGTCTCAAGTCCCACCAGAATGGTTTGTTTATATTCGTCTATTTCATCGAAAAATAGGCACCGCTGGTTACACCACATAACCGACGAAACTCCTGTGTCTCATCCACCAACCGTTTACAAGTGGTCTGCTGAACACTCTGAAAATTTGACCTTGCAGAAGGACAAGAAGTACATACCTTACTCAACTACTCGTCCAAAAATTGAACCTTGGGAACCACCGAAGTAATTCATTTCGTCAACCAGACCATTTATTCCGTATGAGTTTCAGCGTATAGAGTTATCTGTCATCAAACTAGTTTTTTGTAAATTGACTCCTTAACTTTAGTCAGCTATTGTTTTGAATTTTATTTGCTCTTAATAGTGCGTTCGATTTTGTCATTCTATCAGTTTATTCATTCCTGCGTTATCTAACTACATAGTAAGTACCCACTTTGGACATATTATAGACCGTTGTCTGTTAGTTATCCTGATTATAAGTTGGTGGACTTCATTTTCCACTATCTAATTAACTTTTCATCTCACAAAATGTTTTACAACAGCTGGTATGGATTTGTTCCAACTCAGCAATAAAGTACCGATCTGTCCGTTTGCCTGTTAAAGCCCCTTAGTTGGCTATAAAGGTGCCTTTACTGGACAGTGACATCCAATCTAGTAAATTGTTTGGTGTTTTATGCAGTTTCAGTTTAGAGACGAGAAGAGGCTAAATGCCTGTGTTAGTCTTCGTAATGGTAGTCTCTCAACTGACCCAACTTTCTTTAGAAGCTTCAATCATGTGTTGAGGTAGTAAACTCCATTCGTCGATTTGATGAGAAAGTCAGTAGCCGGCCAACAAGTAGTTTGTCCTGGGCTTTTGAACCTTTATAGAGTGCCCTCGTAAATTCTGTTCTGCAAAGCAACAAAAATGAAGGAATATCAAATGCAAATTTGCCATGAAGTAATTTAAAACTGGTCATTTCTGATTTTTCTATATGGAAACGGAAGTAGGTTTAATTTACTCAGTTGATCATCATACAAAAGATTTGGTATTTCGGGAATCAGCTTATTTACGGTTCTTTGGATAGGCAGCTCACTGTCTCTTTAAACAGAAGCTAGTTGACTGGATTCAGTACTCGATTCAGGGCTAGCAAACACCGTATACAAAGTCAGAAAGGCTTTAGCAACAACATGGTTAAAGTCTTTATGTATTGACCATAGGATTCTAAAACCATTGGTGGCTATCGCACAGCATTGTGCATTTGTTTTAAAGCTTTGACTAACTATAACTTCTCGGTCATCGTGTCCAGACAACGCGTAGCCCAACTCTCTTCACTGTGCATGTATCTGTACCTTGGTGGCAAACTTACATTATTATGCACTTGGAAGCATTTATCGGTAACTTCCAAATTCTAGACCATTCAAATAATTTTTCCAGGTCATCTTAAAGCTCTAAGCTATCACCTTTGCTTTCTAAAGATATAGCCAGCCCTGTCTGTTGTCCGATCTGAATTAATGTGCTAACTTTAAAGGAGGCCAGTTTAAGTGGAATACATGGTTTCAGAAACCCTGGTTTATAATTTGTATTCAGTGGTAGAATCCAACTCTCAGCCAATCAGTGACTTGAAATTGTTTAAATAGGACATATCTTCCACTATAGGCAAGCTGCTGTATAAGTTGGAGAATAAAATAATATACAATATGTGAATAAAGCAATAGATAGGTGATATAATGTGAATTAAAAACGAGTATTAATAAGTAGTTTTAAGTAGAAGTTGCGAAGATGAGAATTAAAGCTTAAATAGGTTTTGCAATTGTTATCGTCGTTTAGGTTGTGTGGTCTGGTACATTGCCCGGAGCCCAAACCGGAACAGGTGATTTTCTTAAGGGGCCACTCCTCGGAGTTCTGATCCACAAGACAGTGGAGCAACTTTAAGACATGCGGTTTGATGGTAGCCGGTGATCAACAATAGGCCCATGCACCATTTATTTCCTCAAGATAACGTAACCCATGTGCACCATTGGTTTGGGATCAGGGTTTTCCATTTCCACTAGGTGGATCCTCCGTACCCACCAACCCGGTTCAAGCGTCGAACATTCTCAGACTACGTGTTAGAGGTGTTCGAGATATAAATGAAGTTTTCCAAACAGTACTTGATATAGTTTAAGATGAGTTGCACTGATGTTGATTCTTTCATTACTTGTATCTGGATTTTATTCTGTGTTTATTTTCTACCAACTTCTTATTCCCGTCCAGTTAAAATAACAATTTTATTTTATTGTGTTCATGTCTGTGCGATTGAAAATCTAAATTACTGAATGAGTGAACTTTCGTAGGTTCCTATGTAGTTCTATATACTTTTGGATTGATTTGATCTAACTTTTGCAATTTATTCCTGCAGTACACTCTAGACATTATTCGCACATTGTGGAACGGTTAAAAGTGCAATGATGTGATTAAGCGTAGATTATTAGACAAAGATGACAAATTAGTTAGTAAAGGTGTGAATCTTCATGTACTAAGGCGGTTGAGACATGTGTTATGTCTCTCCACTATCCATCTCGACACGAAGTGTTTGCTGTTGTAAGAGTATGTTGAAAGAAAGTTCTACCAGCCCAAGACAGCATTAGTTCATGAAGTCACTGACTGTTGGTCTAGGTTGTGTTGGTAGACACAGACTACCTAATTAGGTTCTACAGGGTAACCGCGATCAGTGGTTGAAGGCGTTGGGTGACATGTCTCAGAAACAATCTCAATGGCACGGAAACATTCACTCTTTCTTTTATTCAAGGTCTTGAGTTCCAGTATTCCTTCATGTATGCATTTTTATTCTTTTTCGATCTATGTTCTATACTTAGTCTTTCTTACTATCGTTGTTACTTTAGTTATTTCTAGTCACTTGGTATTCTTGTTGTTGGCTTAATCTCGTATTGACTCATTAAAGCAAATTACATCAACGCTTATTTGTGCTATGCTCTATGTTTATTGCAACTGAGTGACATTCTGAAGTGTATTTTATAGATTGGGTGAATAAAATATTAGACTTCTAGTTTTTTTGTTTTTAACCATAAAATCAATTTGATTGAGTAGTACTTGTCGGTCCTGCTTCCTATCTAGCCCAGCCACTTAACTTCACAAAATCAATCTCAGCCTCTGCAATATCAATCATTTATTTCAAACATACTCGCTTTATATGTCAACCAGACAGACCACACGTACCATCAAATAGGAAACAACATTTGTACAAGAATTAGCCAAATGTGGCTGTGAATGAGGGAGGTAGTAATTAATAGACAGGGCATAATTCAACAGTGATAAATCGTATAATAATAGTTCATAGGTTAAAATAAGGCTCATAATAAGAGGGAGATGAATATGAATATTTTAGTTATTTAACAATTATACGATAAAAATATACGCATAGTACTAGTCGATAAATGGATCCCAAAAGTTACCATTCATTATGCTTATCGAGACATAACAAAATGTAAGTTTATAAACTGGCACAACAACAGAACATGTGATCATGTTTATTAACTTCAACATTAACTAGAAGGTCTTGGTTCATACATTTTATGATAGAGGTATTCCATCAGAAAGTCTTGCATAATTCCTTTTGAAATTTCTTCCAGTTGTAATAACTGTTAAGATTTTGGCTCAGAATAATTTTTCTAAATGTCGATGAAATGTAAAGTAACGAAATGTCAAACTGTGGTGCACGGGAACACTAGTAGGGACAATCGAATGTAGTACAACACAAAATCTCATAATAAAATCTGAAAACCATACAGTAAATTCTTCATTTGCAAAATATAAATCAATTGTCCCAGACATGACTGTTCCTTCATTTCTTCAGCACTCATTCTTTGTTCTTGTTCCCGGTTATTTGATCTTCTTAACCTTCTGCCACCAAGTATTTCACTTTCGATTGATGATACATACTACTTATATGTCGACATCAGTAGCACACATGGCAAACTGATTTTTTTACTTTGCTAGATGGTAATAACTACACGTCACTTTGCGTAATCTATCCAGTAATTGTTTCTGATTGGTCGTTTGTTCGTGTGATATGTAATGAATGGTCACCAAGTACTAATTAATGTTATCCTGTTATATATAACAATAGCCAAGTTACTTGATGCATCGTATTCAACTGTGGTGTATGCTACTGATATCGACAGATATTAGTTTTATGTATCATCAATCGAAAGTGAAATGTCTGGAGATAGAAGATTAAGAAGTTCGAAGAGAAGAGAATAAGATCAGAGCAAGATTGGTGCGGAAACGAAGGAACAGTCATGTCTGAGACGACTGATTGGTATTTTGCTAATGAAGTATCTACTGTATGGTTCTTAGATTTTACTAAGAGATTTTGTAATTTTGTGTTCAAATACATTTGGTTGTCTCCAGCTGTGTTCTCTTAGGATTTATACAATCTTACGGTACTCGGTCATTCAACTATGATACTGATATACATAAGTTCACATTTTTGAAAAACAATCAATCCTCTTGACTTTGCAAATATGCTTATGTACCTGAAAACATTCCCAATACAGGAGAATCGGAAAACATGGATTTACGAATACCTTATAAATGATGCTTCAGAAAAAACCGAAAACGACCGTGATGGCTAGCGGTGACAGCAAAGTTGAACGTAGATAAGAATAGAGGAAACTGAGACTTCTAAATTAATTACCGAGTGAAGAGTGTCATACAGCCTATCAGGGTATAATAACGATGAACAACTGATTGCCTTTAACTAACAAGGTCAGGATTAATATTGAATGACTACAAAGCTATTCATTTCGGGGAGTTGCTTGTCACTCGATATGTTTATTAACAGGTTCTACGCTTTGGTTAATAAATTTCAACCACCCAAATGCAGACAGAGAAACCTAAAGATTTTAGAGATTTTTTAAATGTATAGGACCCAGATAAAATAATAATTGTTTGACAGGGATACAATAAGTGTAGTCTACTAGACAAGCAAAAGTCATTAGGAAGTCAACTGATTCTCTCTCACAAAATAATAAGAATAAAGCTTTGAAAATGTGCGAAATAATTAAAACAGTGTCTGACACATTAATTTGCTGTAACTATTTAGCCTGTTAGGTTACCCTGAAATAATCATATTGTCTTTGTCCACCACATTGTGTTAGTGTGTGTCGGAGCTGCATCTGATGATCTCGTAAGTTGGTAATTAGATTTTAAATCTCACTCTATCGAAATACAGAAATATCAAAGAGCCATATAATACCATTATGTACAGCGTCCTTCTATACGACTGCTACTCAACTACCAATTAAAAGAGCATATCGCCGACAAAAATCTGTAGTGCCAGTCATTATTTTAAGCCCATATATCTTATTCTAGTTTTTGGACAAACCATTTTATTCATTCTACTTGAGTCATATTTTGACCTTGTCAATTATTCGCTTGTCAGTCTTGACTGTTTTTATATGAGCGTATATATGTGTGCCCTTCTTATCCCATTAATCACATGTCTGTAGCTTTATATTGTCTGACTGTAAATATTGAGTAACGCTTGACTAAAATGGAGTTGGCTTCCCAGCCATCTTCCCTGCGTGTGATTTTGCTTTGCTCTGTTTCATTCGCTTCATATACGAAATATATGTATTCACAAGTCAATTCTCGTTATTCGACTTATTTAATTCCGTTATTGGATAACGCGATTTAAGTCGACGATGATATACGAGAATAGGCGATAACAATCATCCATACGATCTAATTGGAGTCAGATCTATGGGCCACTGAAAATGGTGAGCCCTTCAACGAACATCTTCCGATCTAAACGAGGACAAAATCAAAATGACGGGTCTCAAAAATGGTAAGCCCGCCGACGACGAACAAATTCAGCGAAGCCAGCGCAATATCCAATCCGACTCAATCAGCAAAGCCTGTGCAGCACGACATAGACATGCACAAATCTTATTATCTTATTGTTACTTTGTACTCATGTCAACCATTCTCATTGGTCCATTCGTCGGTTTGTTCAATTACGATTCAAATTATCATTGTATGCTTATTATTACATTATTGCCAATATCATGATCGAATGTGGAATTATTAATCTTGTTCGTGCTGTCATTAACTTATGACATTTTCGCAATCATATTACTCACCGAACAAATTATCATTTTATGAAAATTCCACTCCACTTTGTGAGAACTCATTGGGATATTTTTACTATTCAAAAACGTGAAATTTCCCTCCTTTAAGTGAGTTCGTTCCAATTTTTTCATGTCATTTTGATCTAATATTACATTCATTCACTTAGTCGAGGTCAGCAATTTATGTTATCACAACATACATTTTTCATTTTGAAATCCCCTCCTATTATGTCTGTGGATGCATCTAACTAGCTGATTAGTAACCATTACGTTCATTTTATCTATTCTTCCACGTGCATAACTACATGCTGCATAACTTATCACTCAAAAACGTTATTCGAGTACTGCAACTACTATTCTATACCCATCGCACTGTATATCAGAACATAGAGTTTAGAGCTAGTCTCTCAGAGATACACTCTTGTTCGTCACATCCAAGTCAGTCTCATAAGTCGCCATCGCTAATCATATGTATTAGTATTTCTGTCACGCCTTGGTACGGTTTTGTAACAAACGAGGTCGACCGCATCTTCCTCAAACCAAACAAACCACTCTAGGCTTCATGACCAAAAAGGAATTCGACTCTACGTACCTCGTCTACTCAGTCACTATTCTGTTCCTCTGGTCATTCTTCTACTAATACATATTTAACGATAACTCGGTGCATCTGTCATAACGCAGACGACAACGTTCACTGACTTCATATTTTATGATTATTATCAATTGCAGTACAGCAACGAATATCACCCGTCGATGCAGTTATTATTTCACGACTTAACTATTATCATTCTACGAACAGGAGTTACGCATTTAAATTCGAATTCACTCATCGCTAGTCGATGCTATTTATTCTACTGCGGCTCAACAGAACATATACTTAACGTATTTCACTATTTCGTCAGCATCACAGACCAATTTCTGTCATATTCTACTGTACTCATTTTGACGATTTATTTCCCTGTCATACCCACAAACAATTTATTACTGTTTTCACGATAATTTGAATCACTCATACCAACGTGTTATTTTATCGTTCAGACAGTCATAGAATTAATACATGTTAATTTTTGTACGCTCTAAATGGAGTCAGATCAACGGGTGCAAACCAAATGTACAGCACACACTAACTTCATCGCAATTTTACATAAGCCATTTTTTCGAACGATTGTAACTACCCTATTCAGTCTACCATTTTTTTGTGTGCAAACATAGACTTTTCCATATATCTTTGTTTGCAGGGGGGAACTATTATAGCGACTCACGTGCAAATGAGTTTATTCTCATTTAACTCAGTTAAGCCCTTTTGCTAACTCATTTAGCGGACAAAGTTGTCCGCACTATAACAACTTATTGTACCCTTATTATTTTGTGCTTGTATGAAATACGTATGCTTGAATATTGATTACTGCCTACGCATTTATTCACTCTGCTAGTCTTACTACTAACCGCTTATTCGATTCGATTACTCATTCATTTCACATGGTATATATATGTCCATGTTATTCATATTGAACTCTCAATCACTCACTCGCTCACACGGTCTCGTCACGCTCTTGCTCTGGCTCTCGCTCGCTTGCTTGCCTTTCGGCACAACTCTTCTATGCTTGTTTAACACATCTGTACATTTGGATATATGTGTGTGGTCTCGCAATAAACGTAATCAACACTTCGTATTTGCCTTCTGATTAATATACCGTTGGTACGTTATATAGAACGGTTATCAACACGAGCTGTATACGAAGTTTAAGGATTATATCGAATACCGACCACCACAAATCCCAGCACTTCGAATTCGTACCAGTTAAAACTCAGATGCTACATAGAGAGGGATAATTTCCCTTACTAAATACGGGTTGAACTTTATTGAATGTCTATCGCTGATTCTACAGCGAACTGACTGTATCATAAAACTTTA